CCAGCAGTAAGGACATACTGAGGCGCGATCAATGTGCCTCCACAAAACAAGTCACTCTCCAGGCCGTAAGAATAAAGTCCAGCCATGTACATGTGTTTGTCAATTTTCGCATTCGAGCCACCATAGATGCGGCTCTCCTCCTCCGATGTTAGAGCGGTTGTCATTTCGGAAAAAGAGAAGGAATTCACGAGCGCTGCAAATGATACGGATAATAAACCGACTTGAACAGCCTTCATTTCGGAGAACTGGAGATGCTGCTGAAGAAAACTGGATCGGCCAGCGGATGGAGCTACTATAAGCGTGACAAAAGAGAAATGAGCTCTGGACAATTGCGTTTTGGCATGCGCAACAATACCCGTCATCATCTTGGCGCATGGTTACTTTGTTGGAGCCGGTGACCATCACCAAATATTATCCTTTCTAGCCATACGTTGTAGAGTCCAAGCTGTGGGGTAATTTGCCACATGGGTTGTACAGTACATGGCTCGTGCTGCACGAGCCACGATCATGCAGTACACAGGGCACACAGGAGGCAGCACATCGAAGTATTGTACTCATAACAGAGGCCTAACTTTCGTACACGTCCTCGTGCTGCAATGCTATTTGAGAACGAAGCATTTAATCATTCTTGTGAGTTGTAAATGTTAAGTGAAATAAACTTAGTCAGAGGCTTTAGCGTGTTGCACGAGCGTATAATGCATGCAGAACGACGACAACAATTACAAGTTTAAAAATGGGTTATTTTATTGAACTTTGGATTGTAACTTATTCGACATACATGTATCTAGAACTACGTAATTAGAAACGAATCGTACAGTATTCAGCTACGACCCCCTACAATTCCTCTATATGCACTAAATCGTGCGATCAACTCATTAGTGTGTAGGCAGCTACTGCAGTCTAGAAGTTGTTGAGTGAATTGCAAAAACACCAGCTCCCCCATTTGTGGGTCAAGTTAACTTTGTACACTCTGTATATACATCCAGTATACTCTGCATACATTGTCTTTATTCTCTGCCATCTAAGGGCCAGCAATACTGAACACCAGCCATCACTCGATCAGCACTGCTGTAATGGCTGGGTAAGGCTACATGTCCCCAGCCCACTACAGACATCATTGGATGTTTATCAATAGTGTCACTAAGAAGAGCATCAATTATCACATCGAATTGAATTCAAAGAATGGTAAAACCCATCCTAGGTATGAAGCTCAATCTCAAATCAACAATAAGCCTTTTAAAAACGTCGTTTGGCGTCGACATGAAATAGCAAACTGAATGTGACTGGGGACATTTAAAAGACTTAACCTGGCGTTTTCGGCAGTATATTACTGTCGGCTCATTGTCTCGCTATGATGAATCCTCATTTCACAAGTTGCGGGGCGTTCTTAATACACCATGCCTCGTAAAATCTGATAAATCGTTTAAATCCTGAAGGACTCGACCACCAGCCACTTGACGCCAATCTGGCTTTGTACAGCTCCTTGACGTCCGAGACAGTTTTTCCTTCGCGAACCAGCTCCTCAAACCTTGGCGTCAGTTTCTTCTGTTCCCAGCGCAAGTACCCACTTTTAACCTTAGTAAACATCCCCTTTAGCTTTTGGCCGATGTTGCGCTCCTCAGCTTCGTCTTCCTTCTCCTCCAATAAGAACGAGAGTTTCTTTTCGTTTTCGAGGACCTTTTATTGTCTGCCAAATTGCTGAGAGGATCCCGACCGGACGTCAGCTTGGCGGGCAAAGCCCCGTCCTGCATGTTATCCGTGTCCTTTGCAACACTCGAAAGTGCAATGATTAATGGTACAATTATAACCCGTAGTAGAAGACGCATCGTTGGTATTTAAGTCGTCGAGTGGTCGGTTGTCGAGTGGCAGGTGAATTTCGAAGTGAAACGCTGGACAAAGAATTTGATTTTACATATATGTATATCATAGATATAGTCGTTATCGCCACAAATTGTGCATAGGCAAGAAGAGAGTTACGGTTTTCTTGATCTTACATGCCAGTCGTTGTGACGACTAGTCTCATCTTGAGATACAGTACATCTACCCGGTGGAAAGCCAGAAAGATTACTAAAGTGTCTACAGTGGGAGTTTACGGTACATGTACCTCATCTCAAGAGAATCGGTGAAAACGCCTGAAAGATTACAAAACTGTTTACCGTTTCCTCCTGATCTTATCCGATCTCCACAGTTCTGTTACGTCCAAGCTTCTCCTTGAGAACTCCTTCTTCTTCTCTTTTCGTTACTGCCATCCGCTGTCCTCTGCGCAAAAATCCTGCAACAAACTCATGCTCATTTTAATTGATCATGTAAAGTAATAAATAGGGGTATTACGCTAAAGTTTATCAGAAGTGAATCATATTTAATTTATAAAACTGATATTTTATGCGCGTTTTTTTGCTGTCAGAAAAATATTACCCTGAAAGGTCTAAATAATCTTGCTTTAGCTTTCTGATTTCACTCCACCACTGAGTCGTGTTGCTTAAAAGTGGGTATGTAGCTCAGGAAGCGGGTGTAGAGATTCGAGTCGACGCAGGAAAATAAGCTGATAAAAATCTGGGCTGTGGTGCCCTCTGATCGCCACCGTACACTCGGTTTTGAGATTGGCCAGAATTTGCCGACCCCCTACTGGCTGAACTGTTATAAGCTGTCACCTGGCCGACGTTAGCTCCATGTGGTGCCAGTTGGTAACCCCCGAACAGTATTGAAGCCGCCCGAGCCAGTTCGAAACGCTTTATCGCCAGTACCGGTAAGAATCAGTCGCCCTTCCGTATCGTACCGTGGCTGACGTTGCCCGCTAACTGCGTTGGTGCTCCCAGTATTCCTTCATACCCGGCCACCACAATCGTCAGGGTGGTTGGAAGCGCATCTGCGAACGGTGCCTGCCCGCCGGGACCACGGACGCCGCCGTCGCTTGTGAACAGAGCCCCACTAGCGTTCGCGCCTCTCTCTGCTTGTTTCCCGATCGTTGCCTTCAGGCCGATACGATATCCCTCGCCGTATTCGTCGACTTGGAATACCGCGATGCGTACGGTCTCATTTAGAGTTTGTGGGTAGTGTCCTCGTACAGAAGCAGCTGACTGTTCGTTTTGTATGCCACACAGGAACGCATCGACAATCCACTCTTCACCAACCTCTATCTGCCACAATCTCGCGTAATACTTGAACGTACTGCACGAGTCACTCTCCAACCATCTGCCGTCTCGCATTCAGATGCACGACGACTTTCGGCGTCGATCGCTGCACAAGGTTATTCGCTCGTAGGAGCGGATCTAAATGGTTAATATCTGGTTCTTCTCTGAGATGGAGGCAGCGATGGCGCCAAACCACCGCAGAGTCTCCCCCACGGAATTCGCCGCCACCTCCAGGTATATCAGGTGCTCCTGCCACGTCCCACCGAGCGTAACCTGTTGGCGCTTGATCTCATTTTGTATGCTGCGCAGCCACGTGTTCACCGGAATGGCGTCATCGACTCCCTTGAACTTCGGGGCCTTCAATTGTTTCAGCTTTTTCTCCCGCTGAACTATGTTCGCCATTGGTTGTTGCACGCTCGCCGTCTGTTGCTGAGTTGGTGGCTCTACTGGCCGCTGCGCGGTGCTACCGGTGGTTGCTACGCTTGTCTGCCCGCAGCCACCTCGGCCACTAGCTCGTCATCAGCGCCACGTCCGCTAGATCCCGCATTGCTGTCCCGGTCGCCACCGCCGTTGTTGTCGTTGCCGATCATGACTTCGATGTCGCCTTGGTTCGTCGACGTGAGACCGGTCGTCACGCGAATGTCCGCGCTGGTCGCCACCAGGCCTCTCCCGTCGCCAGTATCCAAGATGGACACTTCGAGTGGTTTCGACTTCTTCTAGGAACGATGCACGTCCCCAGATTGCAGACTCAACTCCGTTCGCTGCTCTTTACGCGACTTCTTAGTCATCGGTATCCGATCTAGTACATTTCACAGATTGCTAGACTTCGTTCACTTAAATATTAGTGCCGCTCCGGATTCGAGCCACGCGGGACAAGCTAGCCAAGTATACTCCGAATACTTAGCCCAGACGCTCATTGTAGGACCACCTGATCGTTGTACCCACGGGCGAGGGGGGTACGTCATGCATGACACGCATGCGTCGTTTATAGCCCAGGCGATCCAGTGGATGCACAGCCATTCAGTCGCTCTCGTGCTACTCGGCTATATAGCGGAAAAGTAGTAGACGCACCCCACCGCGTCGACTTCGGTGCGATGGCCCACTTGCCGACGACATGCAATATACGGGGACATCCGAAGGACGGTCACTTGGCAGTCCTGAGCGACCTTCGCTTCCACGGCAAGGGGACGCCATTCCGGCTCCCGTCACGAGGAGGTGTGCCTTAGAAACACGTCCTCCTCAGCCCCAGTGGTCGTAAGCCACTTCCCCCCCCCCGCTCTCTATACACACTAGCCACTTCAGACAACCGCCTCAGTACGCACCAATGCCCTTTTCGCTCTACGACCCTATCTGAAAGGCTCTCTCTCAGTGTTGGGGAGGCCAGCCCTGCAGACCCGCATAACTCCACCCGAACGATTAGCTGCTTAACCTTGAATTCTCCTGGCTAGATTGCAACTGAGAGTTGGGCGTCCAGGACCGGCCGTCCAGTGCTCTCCTACGAAGTCTACCCTACCCTACTGACTGCTTCTCCTTCGTTCGTTGTCTCCTCTCCTTGGGTTCCCTTGCCTTCGGCGTAGTCCGTCCTTGCGTCACCTCCCCTGCGCGATCTTCGCCCTTCCGACTCCTCACACTCTGTACTCTTTTCGACTTCTGGCCGGTGCCTTCAGTCGAGATCGCTGCACGCGTCTGCTCCAACTGTCAACCGAGCGTCACGCAGTCGTACGCGCGCTTCGCCTACTCTATAATAGTAATCATGAATACGCTCAAACACTCTTATAACTAATGAAGTCTTAACAGAATGCGTTAAAAGTTTTCGGTGCAAGACACAAAAAAGGCAAACGCAATCCATAAAAAAAGGTTACTCCTGACTCAGTCCCTCACCTTGTTCCACACCCACTTGTTGCCGGAATACTTGATGCCGTCCTCTACAGGGCATCCACCGTGAAGACTCATCGGGTCGCCTTGTCCATTGGGCAACATGCTGTAGAAAACGATCACCTTCCGCTTTTTCGGTGACACCTTCAGTCCTGTGCTACAGTCTTTCATCGATTGTGGCCTGGGTGCACCGCCCGCTCTCGGGAAAATCGTGTGTCCGCCCTTGGCCACGTCCGACATGTACCAGAACACTGTGATCATTCGATTCTTGTACCCGTAGTCGATAGATTCCAGCACGTGAGGCGAGTTCTTGTGATGTTCCACAGGGAAATAGTCTGTATGATGGTCATACTTCTGCGTCTCCTCGTAACGCAGCACCTGCACGTCTTCTTGGTGATCAACGGGCACCTTTGTCAAGTCAGCTACTCTCTGATCAATCTCATCGAGCTTCGAGTGCTTGCTGGACGACAGGAAGTACGTCGTGCTCGTTCGCCAGTCTGTGGCTGCTCGGTCCTCGTGTCCGTCCATCAGCGTCACAGTCGACGGCTTCAGATGTTCCAGCGACAAGGCCATGATGATGTCGATCTCGTCGTCCTTGAGGAACTCGTCCACGCTGAAGACCAGAGGAGTCAGACTCAGCGTCTCGAGCACCACGTCGCCTTTGCCCGCCACTTCTTTGACCACAGCTACAAATTTTCATTTAAAGTTTCCAAAAAAATTGTCAAAACTGGGGTTATTGAAATATTTCCCACAACTTACTCTGATGTCCAATTCGAATACCAGGCCAGATGAACTGGCCTCCTTCGAAGAGGAAGACGATCTGGTTCATTATGTCCTCTAGTGTCTCTCGTCTCGCGCCTTCGGGCGTGAAGAAGGCGTACGGCTGCTTGTACTTCCGCGCAACGTCATCTTTTGGCTCCGGAATCTCCAGCGTTTTCTCCAGTTGCGTCTTCAAGTCTGCGAGATCGTATTTACTCTGAATCTTTATAGACGGCGCATTGCCGTCCTTGAATGCTGTGATGTCCAACCTGTAAGGGCGTCCGCCAATGTCCACTTAAGCCATACACTTCAGAGAGAAAGAGAGAGAGAGATGACAATGTCCACTTACTCTCCCTCTGGATGATTCTTGTGGATGCATAGAATATGGAAGCCCTTCACTGGCAGCACGTCAGTCACATACTGCTCCGCTAGTGTACAGTCCACGCCATCGAAGGTCGTGTTGCTAAATGAGAGCCCAGTGTAGGTAGACACCAGACGACGCAGCTCCGAAGGGTCCACAGCAGACACCGCAGCTGCCACTACCGCTATGAGTCCCACTGCCAGCGCAGAGAATAGGGGGAAGGCACGAGGACTCCTCGTAGGAGGCTCTGCTTCCCATTTCTATCGAAGTGGCGACTCGGATTGGCACCCCACCATTGTATAGAGTACACATGCTATATCATGGTTCAGAAACTCCAACAACATTAAAAAACACTCATTTGAAATCAGTTTTCCTAAAAGCTTCTTCCCCTTTACGAAAGCATATTTTGGCTAATTTTGTAGTTCTGTAAAACTTACAGTCGAATACAAAACGTACTTCGAAGTACACAATGTCGCAATACTTAGAAAATGTGAAACCTTATCTCACCTGGGTGAATGTCGACCCAATCGAACAAAATCGACACGTAGTAGCCAAGTTACCATTCGCCCAGGAACGGTAGCGGACGTAAACTAACAACACTATATAATAGGACATAAAGAGCTGTCATCAACGACTGGCTTCCGCTTTTAGAGCGTTTAATAAGTGTAGAATTCGAAAAACTCACACTTTTAAGGATGTTTGCTGAAACTGTTGCTGTATGTAGTACATACAGCAACAGTTCGAAGTACATACTATGTACTTCGCTCGCATTACGTTAGCGCTCACTAAAAAAACGCAATATACCAAACGAACAAGCGTCTTGCTACTGCGGTTTATAAGTGTTGCCGAAACGGTCTCCACTTTTTACCAGTTTTGAGAAAACGCTTCTACAGTGAAGAAACGGCAATACATGTACCCAGAGCGTCCCGGGCAACGCACGTCAGACAATTACCTTTTAACTCAAATGGAGGATCATCATTGCATTGATGATGATTTAGGTGAATTGGAGGGCGAAACTGGATTGGGCCAAAAACACTAAAAGAAACAGGTTGAGATTCTTATAGGCCAATCCTCTACGTGGTGGTGATACTAATGGCTAAATGTTATTAAGAGCCTTAAAATAAATGCTTAAATAGCAGTTGATCATACCTACTGAATCTGCAATTAAAAACCGACAGATCCCTGACATGTTTCTGTCCTACCCGTGTATCGAGCATTCATCGTAATACGTGTAACATTGAAAAGCAAGTCGCAGCGTCAAAAGCTTTGGCGCTTTAAAAAAAACGTTTTTTGTTGTTGCTTACCCACGGTTTAAAAAGTTCTTTCGTGCATGTCACAGACTTATGTTTACATGTATTTAGGCATGTCACAGCGATTTTGTACAGTGCCACTATGTTTACCGTACTGGTATGAAAGCTACCGAAGCCAATAGCGTGCGAGAGCTTCTATAAACCATATTCACTTATTGTTTTCCTCTAAGACAATTCGCCTCCTTAAAAAGACACCGTACTTTCGTGTCAGTGGCTTGACGATAATCCCGATTCTACTATCTAATCGTTGCTACTCTTCTTGTAAGCGCCCAGCTTCCTTTTGTGAGCGCGGTCAACTCAATCCTGTCCAGTGAGAGGTCGACAACGGGTGAAAGGCTATTGAGGCTTAACATCGAGCAAAACGAAGAGGGAACCTTGAGCCTAAACCTTCTTGGATTGAAAAAAAATCAAGAACCTAGTCAAGTCGCCCACGAGCAAGCAGATGAAAGGATAGGGATAGCAAGCGGGCAAACTCCCGACGACGTTTTCTTGTCGTTGAGATTAAACGCGGCAGGGGGAGATATTCTGAGCACCCCTAGCTTCAACGTTTGGAGAAAATACGTTGCCAAGATAAACAAGAAGGACCCGGACGGTGTTGTTGTTGAAACATTAAGGCGGGTCTACGGTGAGAAGGAGCTAGCAAAATAGCCTCAGATTTCTACTGGGAAAAATGCAAAGAAGCTTCAAAATGTACATGGTACAAGAGGAAAGTGACGCCAGCTGACGTCGACCGATCGTGCAAAGTGGACTCGAACCCCTGTTGAGATGGTCTGGTTTAGCAACACGAAGTTGTAGAACGCAGTACGATGATCTACGAAGCCATATGTCGCAACACTTGTACGTACGCGCCATGTATAGCTCGGCCTTTATAAAATTGTAGAGGATTATGAATGATTATCATAGTAGTATTCGACATGAATATTTACATGTACGTTGACATGTGAGCGATTCTCTCAAATTTCCTTTCAGTGCGTTTCTTTATATGTTGATCTTTTGAAAAATAAGAGTTACGTTATCTGTAATTGCTGCAAATATTTTTAAGTAGTTCCGCACAGACAAATACGCTGTTAGTACAAGACTATTGCTACAGATACAAAGCTACCAAAGTGCTCGCATATAATGCACTTTAGAGATAGACGATTAATTACACTTCATGAATCGTATGACCTACAGCACCGGATGTTATTTTGTCAGCTTTAGCCAGCATCCCCAGCGCTTGCAGCTGCTCGTACATAACCGTAATGTATTTTCTCTACAGAAGGCTGAAATTTGTGCAACATATTATTATTAACGTACAGTACAGTAGATGTGATCTTGTCACGTATACCTTACGGCTTAAGTTACGCTACTGTTGTTGTTGTTAAAGGCAAATGCCGAAGTGAGTAGATTAAAGTCAATTAAATCTGTCCTCTAAACTTCAGTGCTCCTGGCCATCCACCAGATTAACCGGTTTGGGACCGGTCCAGTTTGGAATGTCACGCCGGTTAGCCGAACCGTGCAGAGTCGGTGCATATCAACACTCCCACTCACCGCTACTGCACGTCGTTCCTCTTCTTGATTCCACTTGCTTCGCGAAGTAACGCTAGCGACTTCGTTCCCAGTGCTTTCGTAAGCATGTCAGCTAACTGCTGCTTCGTGTCGATGTAGGCCACCTTGATTGTGGAACGTTCCACATTCTCTCGAATAAAGTGGTGACGGATATCCACGTGCTTGGTCCTCGCGTGATATCCAGCGTTGCTTGCAAGTGCAATAGCACCTTGATTGTCTTTTCAGACCTGCGTCGCTCCCACTTGCTCGTGACCCATATCCTTCAGCATGGCACGTGTCCACAGTACCTCTTGAGTACAAAGGCTTAGTGCCATGTACTCTGCTTCCGCTGAGCTAAGTGCAACCGTCCTCTGGTACTTAGACTTAAACACCACCGGAGCGTTCCCAATCATGATCATGACGCCAGACACTGAACGTCTGTCGTCAATGTTGCTTCCCCAGTCTGCGTCCGTAAACGCTTCTGCCTTGACAGCTTGCGTTCCAAATCCACTCGTTCCACTTTTGTAAACGATACCATGATGGCGAGTGGACTTCAAATACTGCAGAACACGAATCGCTGCCTTCCAGTGTTGCGTTCCAGGATCCTCTAGGAAGCGTGCCAGCTGCGTGACAACGTAGGCAATGTCCGGCCGAGTACAGGTTGTGATGTACATGAGGCACCCGATTAAGGAACGATACGGTCGTGACCGCATTTCGGCACGTTCCTTTTCCGTAGTCAGCGACATCATCTTGGACAACTTCAGGTTTGCTGCACAAGGGTTCTCCACCATCTTGGCGTTCCGTTGATTGAATCGTTCCACAATGTCGTCAATGTACCGAGTTTGCTTGATCATCAACGTTCCACATTCTCTATCGTGGTCAATCTCCATTCCCAAAATGAATTTGGCCTCGCCAAGCTCCTTCATCTTGAATGCGCTCTTCAGGGCGTTTTTGACCTCCCGAATTTGGTCGCGCGTCTTGGCCGCAATGATCATGTCCACATATAGACATACGTACACGAATGCGTTTTTGGAACGCTTGACGTAGACACACTGGTCGGCTCCGCAACATTTGAAACCATTCTGCAGGAACACGCGATGAATAGTCTTGTTCCATGCACTTGCAGCTTGCTTCAAGCCGTAGATGGCCTTTAGCAGCTTGCACTTCATGCCTTCAGCATTATCGAGACCAAGTGGAACGTCCATGTAGACCAAATCCACCAAACAACTGTTTAGGAACGCTGTGTCGGCATCCAGTTGCTCCATAATGTAGCTGCACGTAACGCAAACAGCGAGTACAACTCGAATCGAGTTCATATTCGCAACTGGGGAGTACGTCTCAAAGAAGTCTATTCCAAACTTCTGCTTGAACCCCTGCGCTACTAGACGTGCCTTGTAACGGATAACCCGGCCGTTCTCGTCACGCTTCTTCGTGAAGACCCAGCGACATCCAATGGAACGAGTTGTCGTTCCACGTGGAACGAGCGTCCATGTTCCGTTCCGGGAATGCGAATTCAGCTCTGACTGCATAGCACGACGCCACTCTCCTGCTTTGTTACTGGCAATAGCTTCTGCCTACGTGTTAGGCGTATCTGGAACGCCACCAATGCTGGCCGCGTACGCCAACACTGCCTCTGCGAGCAAACCATCTTCGTCGATTCTGGCACGCTTAGGAGATGACGGTCCATCACTTCCACGTTCCACGTCTTCATCGTCACCATTCCCAAGTAGAAGTAATGGCTCACGAGGGCGCGTAGATCGTTCCGTTTCAGGATGGAAGATCATCCGGTCCTCATAGAACGATGGAGGCTGCGAATGGAACGTTGCCAAATCCAACCCATTTAACCTGGGTTCCTCCGGCGCGGGTAGCTGCTGTATTTCTGCGTTCCGTTCCAGTTCAAGGTCGTCCATCTCAATGTCTTGAGCAGGCTCCTCTGCTTCTTCCATCGGTTCATCCTGAGCAGGCTGACGTTCCACTCCCGATATTGGAACGATCGTATCACCGTTCCTCGTCACATGGATGACCGTTCCTGAAGATGGCGACTGCGTGTCATAGATTCCGCCCACCTCACGCTCGTCCAGCTTGACCGACCGTGTCACCTTGACCTTCGACGCATCCATGTCGTACACACGATATCCTTTCACGTTCTCAGCGTACCCGAGGAACGTGCACTTGAAGCTCTTGGGTTTCCAGCTTCGTTCTCATCACGTCGTCCACATGAGCGTACCCTTGTGACCCAAAAACACGTAGGTGTTCCATCCGTGGCTTCACCTGGAACGACAGCTCGTACGGCGTGACATCAGAGTTTGATGTGTTCGTGGAACGGTTGATGAGATACACTGCAGTACTAACCGCTTCCGCCCACCACTGCGTCGACATAGACTTGTAGTGCAGCATGCTTCTTGCCTTCTCCATGATGGTACGGTTCATGCGTTCCGCCACTCCATTCTGCTGAGGGCTGTATGGAACGCTACGCTGATGCACGATACCGTTCCGTTTGCATAGTTCCAAAACTGTCTTGTTCACGAACTCCGTTCCATTCTCGGAACGAAGACATTTTAGACGTTCCCCCCACTGTGTTTCGTACAATGCCTTGAACTCCTTCAGTTTGCTGTCCACCTCGCTCTTGCTCTTCATAAAGTACGCAACGACAAACCTTGAGTAGTCGTCTACGAACGTCAGAACATATTTGGCACCACCCTTTGAGATCGTTCTCATTGGGCCCATTACGTCCGTGTGTACTAGTTCCAACACACGCGTCGTTCTCGTTAGCGATCGTGACGGGAACGTCGTCACGGTCTGCTTTCCCTTCATACATCCACCGCACAAAGTCTCGTTCCCATTTTTCACATGTGGGATACCAATTGTGGAACGTTGAGTCTTCGTCAGCGCGTCCTTGTTGGGGTGACCCATGCGAGCGTGCCAAAGCTCCCACTCGCTGTCAGGACCGGCGTATTGCACGAGGTGTGCCTCCTCCTGCTGACAGTCCAGCAGGAACGCCTTACCGACCTTCTTCCCTGACGCTATCGCAGCGTTCCGTCCCCAAATTACACAACTGGAACGCTGGAACTCCACGCTCATGCCTCGTTCCGCGAGCCTCCCGACCGACAATAACCGTCTATCGAGCCCCGGAATGTGGAGCACGTCCACCATTCGGATGCGTTTACCGTCCAAACCAGTCAACTTGACCGTTCCAGTTCCTGCGACGCGCAGCTTCTTGCCATCTGCAATCGTCACGTTGATGCCACTGTCTAGTGCCTCGTACCCAAATAGGTCGTTCCGGTGAGGGGTCATGTGCGACGTCGCACCACTATCAATCAGCCACCCGGCCGAGCGTTCCCCACCAACTGCAAACACTGCATCGTCTTGACTGCTCTTCTTTGCGGCAGGACAGTCCCGCTTCATGTGACCCACTTGGTCACAGTTGAAACACTTGCCCTTGAAACCAATGTTCCGTTTCGGACCGTTCCATTTTCGATCGTTCCATTTTTGACCGTTCCCTCGGCCGTTCCGGAACTTGCCTGCGTTCCCATTCACTTGGAACGCCTTCTCCATGGTTTCCTTCTTCTCGAGTCGCTCGTACTCCTTCAACAGCTTTTCCTTGGCCTCGATGAGCGTCACACCCTTGGCGTTCTCCACGATAGACGAAATGAGCTCGTACTCATCGGGGAGGCTGCTCAGCAGCACCACCAGCTGGCGTGCCTCGTCCATGGGCTCTCCTAGCGTCTGCAACCCGACGATCAGCTCATCAAACGCATCCAGATGCTTTGCCATAGTCGATCCACTTTCCATCTTGAACTCGTGGAGGCGACGCGTCATCGTCACGCGGTTGTGGAGCGTGGTGCGGACATAGAACTCTCGCAGCGTTCCCCAAGCTTCTATGGAACGAGTGGCCGACCGAATCTTGGTCTGATGCTGGAGTTCCACTCTCTGAGCGATGATGCCGAGCGCCTTGGCATCATTGACGAGCCACGCCTCGGTGATCTCGTTCTCCGGCTTGACGGCTTGAATATGCGCAAGCAGGCCCTTCCTGGCTAGCGTCATGCGCATATTGTACTCCCAGTGGAAGTAGTTCCCACTCCCGAGGAGGACTTCGGCGCGCTTGGTCGTCGTCATATTTTGGAACGTTCCAGTAGAGTTGAGCGTTTGCGGCTGTTAACCTGTTGTTGTTGTTAAAGGCAAATGCCGAAGTGAGTAGATTAAAGTCAATAAAATCTGTCCTCTAAACTTCAGTGCTCCTGGCCATCCACCAGATTAACCGGTTTGGGACCGGTCCAGTTTGGAACGTCACGCGGTTAGCCGAACCGTGCAGAGTCGGTGCATATCAACAGCTACCTTACAAACAACGGGATTTCAGGTGATTTGCACTAATATTAAAGTACATACAACGGTCGTTACACACTACTATTCCTAAATCTATCATGTAAACAACTTGGCCATTCCAAATCAACAGCCTGTTCAACTAGTATTCAAAACAAAGCATTTATCAAACACCAGAAAGATGACGGTTCGATCTACAGGAAACTATTCAGGCACAAATACCTCATTCTAAATTTATCCGTCCTACTGGTAGGGTACAAATATCGTAATGTCTAGAAGTGTTTTCCTGGTGTTCCTGGTAGTCGGAGCCGTATCCAGTTTTCTTGACGTCGCAATTGCTGATGACCAACTGACCGACCCTCAACTTCGTTACTCATTTCGCTCCCAAGAATCTGAGCTGAAGCCACGAGAAATTCCCAAGGATGTACCTTTCAGCGAGGAGATATCAGCGATGCGTGGCGTGTTAAGCAAATTCAAGCCCCTCTTTCGTAATAAACCTAGCAAGGTTATACCAGCTGATGCGAAACTGGACAAGCAAGGAGCTCACCAGGCTTTCAGCAAACTGAAATCAATTGTGGGTCTCAAAGGTAGAGGCCCGACCAAGCTTACACCGGAGAAGATGAAGGCTTTGGAGACGTATGCTCGGGATAACCCCGAGAAATGGTCCGCGATGTCGTTTTACTTGTTTTATGTGGAAGAGATTGCGATAATGACAATTATAGGAGCGGGCGCCGTATACCTCGCATTGCGGCCCGTTGGAACGAGCGGTGCAGCACCGAAATGATGGAGTACATGTAATTTAGGGTTTCATGCCGTGTGCTGTGTTGCATTCACTCGGTATCTGGTTAAAGGACTGTCACCTTTTAAAGAAAAAATACTTACTTCGAAGTAAACTGTACCTCCGCACTTAAAATTACAATTATTAAAAAAAAGTATTGAAACCTCCTTTGATTAGCGGAAAGTGACATTCTCGGCTCAAAGCCTGGTCACATTGAGCAAAATAACTTCCTAAATGTCCAAAATAAAAAATGTATCAACAAATCATGATTTGAATGTACAGAAACGCCCGGATATAAAATACAGATGGATGAAACTGTTGTCTTTGTATGGCTCGTTGTCTGTATTGCATTTTTTTTATCTGGATCGTTTTATTAAGGGTTTAATGCGACGAATTGAGTCCTAGATCCAGAGTAATTGATCCTGAAAAATTCGGTAAATCTTTCGTTTGGACTGACAGCTTCGAAGCCCCACCCGAACATCGGCAGACTGTATTGTGCTGAGCTGTCGATAAGTGCTACATTAGTCGCATGTTTAATTTCGTTAAAAAAAACAGCGTTTCATCAAGAAGTATCACAAGATTTTTTTTGTCCTGTAAATAATTAACAGCATCTTTATGCAGCAAATAGTATTTTTTTCTTCTGTTGCGCTATTGCAGTTCTATTTTTCTAAACTTGTTCTATAAGTAGTGTGCTGGCAGAACTAAAAGGGATATCTCAGCCTACGCAAAGTTCTCGTTTCGAGCTCGGCTGATTGGTCCGAGACGCATAAATGAAGTACAGACTGAATCTCCACATATTATTAATACGGTAAGGTATGCGCTGTTTTGCAGAGTACGGGTATGCAGACCATGCGTAAACACAAGTATCACAGGAGAAATAGACATCCAGGACACAAGACTGATTCCTAGCCTCGTCCAGGTCTATTTTATAAACAATGTAAGCTGCAAGATCAATCCAGGCATAAACATTTGGACGGCATCAAGTCGCGTCTTTCACGTTTACAAAAGGCTTCTTCCGAAAAAATTTAAAATTATACAGAAGGCCACTTTACGACTCAGATTTCTCATTCTTCACTGAGCTATGGGTAATTGCATTAAAACTATTGCCAATTCCGGCCAAGTTTGTATTTTGGAAATTTATTCGCAGACAAAGTTCTAAGCCGTACCAGCTTTAAGTACCAGATTTTGAGATCGGTTTCATGTCGATGATGTTCGTCATGTTGATTATCAAATACTACCTGGACGACGGCTACATGTTCGTGTATCGCGGGGTTCAAGTTGTAAATTAGCAGTTGCCTTTGGGCAGTGAATGTTAGTGGAGTCATAACAACTTTCGTTTACGTGGCGCTGACAAAACAACTACCTAATTTCAAAAAAATAAATGAGTTTCTGGGAATGTTTTTTTTTACTTTTCGCTATAGTTCTTGAGCTCCAGTTTGCGTTTGTGTTCGTTCACCTTTTCTTTAACGACTCGGTCCACGAGCTTGAGCGTCACGACCACTTGGTCCTGTGCATACACGATGCTCTGCATGTAGAGCATCATCTTGGCAATCTCTCGGCCGCTCATCCCCGTCGTCATATCTCCGTACTGCGTCATGACGCTGGCATCCAGAACAGGAGGCAGCGCACTAACCGACGCCTTGTCAGCTTTCCCAATCACGTTCGTACTCTTAAGTGCGTCAGGAGGAACAGCCAGATGGGCGACGTACTCGTCAAAGTACATTTGCAGTAGTCGCACACGCTCCTTCTCCTCGGGCAAGTCAAAGTGGAGCGTGTCGTCGATTCGATCCGTGACTGCCGTATCGAGATCCTCTGGTCTGTTAGTCGCTACCACCAGCATAAACTTCTTCGACTGAGTTCCTGTATGGTACAGTAAGGCATTCAGGGCATTGCGCATGGCCTCACTCATGTGAGTCTTGCGCGTGGCTCTGCAGCCAAGGAAAGCTTCCGCCTCATCGATAAAGATCAAGACGCCACGTGGCGACGAGTTGGCCCATTTAAAGAGAGCATGCAGCTCCGTCACCGCGTCTGATCCCAGTGGACCCACGTCTCCGCCACTTAGAATCGCGTAGTCCATGCCTGAAGCTCTAGCCAGACGCTTGGCTACCATCGTTTTACCGGTTCCTGGAGGCCCGTATAGCAGTAAATGCCGGTACGGAGCGCCATGGAGCATCGCATTGCGCGTCGAGCGGGCGATCTCCAGCACGCGCGTCTCCAGCGAGCTCCTCAGCACCACATCGGCCAGCTCGTCTGGACCTTTGGCATGTTTTCGACGAATCAGAGCGCTCAAAAAGCCGAATGCGCCAGAAGACCGCGACGTTTCGCGCACGAGGGAAGGTTTCCCTAATCTTTGTTCGATCAGCTTGCCGATGATCCGGATAGCTTCTCTACTGAGGTAAATTCCCGCAGCTAACGCCACAAACCCACCAACAAACTTGATAAGCTTCTGTTTGTCGGCCAAGAGCACGGCAATCCCCTGGCCAAGATTGTCGAATGTGGCCTGTAGAGCTTGCATGAGCTTGACGCGATCCGCTTCCAGTCGCTGCTGCAGCTGCGCCATCTCAATGTCCTGATTGGCTCGCTGTTGGCGGATGCGGCCGTCCACGTCGATCGCCGCCTTCTCCAGCGTCGTATTCCGCTCCAACAAGGCGCGGGAATGGTCGGCTGCTAGTTGTTTCTCCTTTAGAACCTCCTCTGTCTCGCGTCTGGCGCGCTCAATGCGGACATTCGACTCTTCTTGCAGATGCACCAGCTCGCGGTTTTGGTCGCGTCGTGCCGCGTCGTCCTCTTGCATTCGTTTGTGCTCCAACGAGTGTTTCTCATTCTCCACCTGCAGCTCATGCTCTCGCTTTAAGTCCAACGTCTTGCGCTCTTCCTCTCCTCGTACTTTCGCTTCCTCAATGAGCTTCTCTGTCTGAGCCAACTGCGCTTCAGCGATCAGTCTGCGCTGCACCAGTTGCGCACTGGCCTCTTGCTCTAGGTAACTTTGCAACTCGTCGATTTTGTGTTGCTGCACTACTGTTAACTGTCTGAGTGTTAAAATCTCCTCCTCTTGGCGGTTTAAGTTGAGAAGGAGTTGCTGTGTGGCTCCCAGGTTGTGCATGTAGAGAGCGTCCTTGTCCACCACGTGGAAATCCTGCAGTGCGATCTTGCCTCGACCATCTCGATCAAACACGAAGCGCTCGGGTAGTATTTGGACCACTTCGGGGGCTACAGAGTGCAATTCAGGACCTAGAACGCCTAAGAGAGTAGTGCGACCGGCCACCGAGTCGTATTTGAATTCGTATCGCTTGAGCGACAGTTTGCTTAGGAGCTCGAGGCTTTCGGACACGTTGGCGTCGTGTACGTTCTGTAGAGCGTCCGCGTACTTTTCCACTGTCACGTTAGCTGTAAATCCACCACCTTTTCGCGAATTCCGAAGCGAATGTCGCCACGCAGCGGAAGGAGATACAGCGACACAAACAACGAGAACCAGAACGAGATACTGCCAGCGGGGGCAAGAGAGACGCCACTTGCGGGTCATGTTGGTAGGGGCGGAAATGTGAGACTATGGTCTGACCCTTCAGAAGATCGGTGAAAGATACTATCGCTAAAAATAGTCCATTGTCAGTTTGCTAGTTCAATTTTACGTTGCATGGTATCTATTGAGAGTGACCAATATTTTTAAAATTAGAATTGAGTTTCTTTGAAGTAGTTGCTAGTAAAACGAATAATCTACAACCACTATTACGTTTTTTTCTACGTAGTTATAAAAGTTCTCTCATGTACAATCAAATGAATTACTGTAGGCACTGTAGTCAAGTCTTGCGTCTCAATGCATATAATGCTTCTATTGAAAAAAGAAACAGTTTATGCTCAAAAGCGAATTAATAACAGGACTTTTGTTCGAAACATACCAAATTCTAATTTGAAATAAATAAGGGCTCTTAAACCTGCTGCTCGGAGCTACAATTCCTTTGTCGTCTACATTTTACCTCACATGCGCTGCGGCGATGTCGAGTCAAACCTCCGACTTCCCATGGCCAGTGACTTTCCGTTCTGCGGTCCGACGTTTCTTGTCGGTGGTGGCGACTTACTGCGTTGACCTCCTGGACTCCCGTACGGACGTCGCTGCGCCTGGAGGTACGATACGTGCTCGGTAGCTGTAGATGTGGGTCCAGAGGCGACTCCATTCGTCATCACAGTCGGACCAGCAGATGCCGAGCCTGCTGAGCTCATGGGAGGTCCATGTTGCTGTAGAGGACCATAGTGTGGCTGCTGGTACGCTATCATAGTGCCATGATACGCTGCCGCTGCTGCTGCTTGTTGCTGCAGTTGCTGGTGCTGAAGCAGCAACGAATTGACCGTCCCCGCATCCAGCGACGGTAGCAACGACTCCCAGCGCCGATCTTCGCCCTCCTCGCTTTTCGTCACCGACGCAGACTGAGGTCGTGGTGACGCCTTGTTCTTCTTGAGAGAGCCCGTACTAGACGTCGACGCCGGCTTCCCGTGCCAAATCTGTCGTGGGTGGATCAATAGATCTGGCCTCCATCCGTCCCCACGTGCGTACAGCTGCCAACACCGCGAGAAGAACGTCACGCCCACGTCTTTACTCGACTCCTCTCTCAACAACTCCGCGTCGTCGTCTATGGCTGATCGAGGTGCAAGCATCGCTGCCAACTGGTCTCTCGCGAGTCGGAACGCACGCTTCATCACGGGAAACCCTTCAGCCGACACACTACGCGCTAAGTTGTTCTTGTCGTCTAGAGGATCCACAATGTTACAGGCTCGAATAGGGAACAATCCAGTCGGCGTGCCTTTGCTGCTCTTCAAAGCTGCGTCAAACGCTCCAAATTGATCCGCCAGCGTGTCGCGAATAGCTTCAACGTCACTGGCGTCCAGCTTCGCCGTCTTCAGCTTTGACCTGTACGAAGTGGTTCCATTCAACGGTGTACTGGCCAGACGACTCAGCGGTACAGGGCCATGTAATGTCAACGCACACTCGTGCCACGGAAACTCTGCCAGACGATCCAGGAACAAATACAGCGCCTGCAGCGGGTGCGTGAGAGCGTCGCCGTGCTGGTTGAATAGAGCCATCACGATCGTGTTCACTGCGTACGTCGAGAGAGCTCCGTGACTTGCCCCCATGACACTAGCCGGCGTGCTCCCAGGCACCGATCCACCCGCCTCATTGGACGCTCTCTGCATGAACGGACGCGACTCATGGGTGCACCAGGCCTTGATGAGGATGAGGCTCTTCTTGAACAAGTGCTGTCGTCCCACACGAGCCGCCATGGCGTCCAGTAACCGCACAGCTCCGAGCGCTCCCACGCGGTTGGCTGTAAAATCCACCGGGATGTTGTCAACTGTACACTTGACCACGCGAACGTCCGCGTTAATAAACGTCACGTTGCGAACTGTATTGGTCAATAACAAGGGCCCCCCTCCACTCGCCGCCGCAGGACCAGACGGAGAGCTGCTGCCGCTTACATCCGAACTGGCAGAGTTCCCTAGATCCAGCACGGTGCCTGCCCCGCCACTGCCTCCAGCGACACACAGCGCCTGCGTCACGATATAATACCACGACGACTCGAGTTCTTGAGGCACCAGCAGACAAATGTCCAGATCTGACCCTGGCAGATACGTCTTCATAGGGTACGACCCCGTCGCGAAGAAGAGCGGCGCTGCAGCAAGAGGGAAGTGAGCGGTGATGACCCGCTGGACAAAAGACAGAACCTGTTGACGAACGCGGTCGGCGACGTCGCTGGGGCCCATCCACTCGATCAGCGTGTCCGCCTGACTCGCAGCTGCACTCGGAACCGGGAACTGAGACCGTAAGCGAGTGACTCGCCGTGCAAGCGCTGCAGCCTTGGCTTGAGTGCGCGCCTCGATACTCCTGGCGTCTTCCCGAGACGCCTTGTCCTTGTGTGTTAGCAGCAGCATCTTGAGCTTGGCGATCTCGGCGTCCTTTTCCTCCAGGAGCTTCTGGTGCGCTCTCAACTGCTGCTGATGTTGCTCTGCCGCTTGTAATGCCTGGCCATACGCGATCGGTCGAATCACGAGTGACGGGGGCTTCAAGCTGCCAGCACTAGCGCTTGACGGCGACGCCGTGGACGTCACCGTGTGCAGATGTTTACGTCCAGACTCAGCGCTCGAAGCTTCTTGCCGTCGCTGAGTTTCGGCCATGTTGGCCAGCACGTCCTGAGCGCGTTGGATATCCTCCTGGAGAGCGCTACTCATTTGCTTGCGCTCAGCACGAGCCAAGGCCTCGTCGATAGCGCTCTTGTCCCGCTCGTCTGCTGCCTGTTGGAGACTCTCTCGCAGCTTCTTCAGTTGTCGTTCGCGCTTCTTGAGGTACTTCTCGTCCATCAGTACCGCCTTGGCCTTGCCCTGACTGTCCTTCCCATCCTCACTGCTACCTGAAGCCTCGTCGTTCGCTTCTTCGTCAGCGTTACTAGCATCCGGCAACACGACACTAGCAATCTGCTCCTCGTCTTCCACACTCGAAGGTTTCTCGTGTTCGGAGAGACAAGCGCCGTTCATTCTCGACGTCTGATCGTCTACATCGTCGGACTGCGCTTGGATCTGTATCCTAACGGCCCCAGCCTCCAGCGGCTCATCCGCCTCCTCATCCCACATGCTTTCCCACGCTTCATCTCGCGTCATAACGTTCGCCACAACGACCGGAGGCGGCGGTGTTGTAGCAGTCGTAATTTTATCTTCACGTCCCACCTGGTTCCTGTCACTCTTGGGCTTAATATCGCTCGTAGAAGCTTCCAAATCAACTGACACGTTCGCCTTCGACTTCGCAGCTTCTAGCGCAGTTTGCGTCTGCTTCGCCAGCTCCCCATCCATAGGATCGTTGCTTGTGTTTTCCTGCTCCAGCTCCGCTAGCGGCGCTACGTCCACTGTTGCCACGGTCGCAACTGGATTATCTTTTACCGTGTCTTTCTTGTCCCCATTAACCTTTTTCCGTTTCTCTTCCTGCTCTCGTCGCTGCTGCTCTTCTCTTTCCTGTTGCAGCAACTCCTCCTCGTCCTCCAGCAACACGTAGCCGACATGAGGTTTATCATGCGCACTGGAGCTGCTGGCCTTTTTCTTTTTCTTCTTCTTCTTCTTCTTGCTCTTGCTTGACACCACGTTGCCATTCGTATTCAGCACTCCAGCGCCGTCCATATCATCGGCGTTTTGCTCCAGCCACGCCAAAGCTTCACGCTGTTTCCTCTCCTCACACGCCACTTTGCGCTCTCGCGTGTCCTGCAGCTCCAACTGCGCTTCCATATTGTTCGCAAACGACTTGAGGATCTCCTGATAATCCTCCTCTGCAGCCTCAAACTGCTCGTTCGCCAGTCGCAGCCGCGCTCGACACAGTAGCGCATGAGCGGCCACCTCGCTCGTGATCTTGCCACCTGCTCCAGCTTTCCCAGGCTTCCCTTTGCCTTGACCAAGAGTCACAGTCGCACCCGACGCGAGCTCCATCGTCACCTTCCCAGTAGCATCATCCACTCCAGGCTTATCAAAGTGCGCGTGGATGATAGACGAGTAGTCCTTCTCCGCTTCTTTGATAGCTCCCAGCTCCTCGTACAGTTGTGCCCGTAGCTTCAACCCATTGATAAAAAACCCACTGACACCCAGCACAGCCGTCACTTCGCTCACCGCGCCTTTGAGGTCTCCTCGTTGTCGATACAAACGCGCTCGAGCCATGGAAACCTGAAAGTCGTGCGGATCCAGCTCCAACGCGCGTGCAAAGTCCGCCAGCGCGTCTTCATACCGCGCCAGATGCACGAACGACTCGCCTCGTAGCTGCAGCGTCTCGACGTTCGTTGGGTCCAGCTGCAGCGCTCTGGAATAATCCTGCAGCGCGCGTTTCTCCAGTCGTCGCGACTCGATGCCTCGATAAGGTTCTGGCTTAGGCGGGACGGACGTATACGCCAGTTTGGAGCCACTTTTAGCGGGGTTCGGACTCCTGGACTGGCCCTGCTCCACTGCTGCTAGCTCTGCGTCTTTGCGCTCGCGTGCGTCCTCCTCCAGTGCCAATCTCTGCAGCAGCTTGGCTCTCTCCAGCAGCACATCCAGCATCCGAGCCTTGGGCTCCGCCTCCATCTCCTTAGGGGCCACAAAACCTGCCAAGCCGCCCACGCCTCCGGACGCATCGAAGTGCCGACTCTCCTCTGCTTCCTCCTGTAACTCGATAAATCTGTCAAAGTCGCGCAAGGCCAGAGGATCCTGATGACACTGGAGATACAGCTGCGCTCGCTCGTAGAAGAGCTCCAGGTCTCGGTGGCCGCCTGCAGAGTTCTCGGCGTGGCTCAGGTCCTCTAGCGCATGCGTAATGTTGTTCATGGCCTTGTACACTTTCGCTCGGGCCAAGTACAAGCCGCGCAGTTGCACTAGGCTGGCACTTGAAGAGAGACCATCACTCACCATCTCCATCCCGCCACAATCGTTAAGTAACCCTTGAGTGGCTGCAAGACTGATAGCCTGATTGTAGTCGAGCATGGCGGCATGGTGCTCTCCTAGCGCGGCGTAGGCTTTACCGCGCTTCGCATACAGCTCGGAGCTCTTGGGAGTCATCTGCATGACGCGTGAGAGGTCCTCGATGGCTGGTTTGTACTTCTTTGAGGCCAAATAGCAGAGCCCGCGCTGGTGATAGAGTTTGACGGTGCTGCTCTTGGTGCTTAAGTCTGAGGTAGAGGACGAGAGCGTCTCCAGCGCCTCCGTCAAGTACGGGATGGCCGCGCCGAACTGTTTACGCTCAATGAGGGCAACTCCGCGCTCAGCTGCGCGTTCTGCTGAGCCGCGGGGCCTTCGAGTGCTAGACGTTGTGTTGAGGTGCTGTAGGGTGCGATACTGGTCGATGCCAGTGCGGAGCAGACGCGTGTCCTCACTAGAGGAGCTGCTACTGCTGTTCTTACTATTGGCGTTCATCTTGAGGTTCATCTGCATCTTCATGCGCGTGGCCATGGGGATCTGTATCCTCTTGTCCACTTCGTCAAACTTGTCGGTCGTCTTCTTCTTGTTGCGGCTCGAGTGGCTGCTGGCTTTATCCGTCTTCATCACTGGAGCTGCAGCTGTCGTTACGATGCCGTTTAAGGGATCCCCACACAGTTACTATAGGAGAATCGACTCACGAGCGCGGAATGGACCCGAGTGACGGTGTCTTAGCCTGGCGTTTGTATGTGGGGGGAAGGCGCTGACGACTGGGCCGCCGCTTGGCTGTTTATGCGAGTGATGTTCTGACAAAATCTATTTCAACCAATCGATAAATTTTGTTTAGTCAAATAACCAATCATCGTGCTTTCAGACTCTAGTCCACACAATAGGCACGAGCACCTCCCATTCCCGACTTAGCAGGCAGTGATGGCGTCTCTAACTCTGGCGCGTAGTCTGCGCACATGCGCCCGGCGGTCGGCGTCGCTCTCGACACGCACCTTTGCGTCCGCCCCAGCTCCCGATGCTCAGGCCAAATTCTCCGTCGTGGATCATCCCGTGACAGCCGATGCTATTAAGCCTGAGGACTATTTCGCCGTCGTCAAGCTGGCCGGCACGCAGTACAAAGTGACGCAGGGAGACGTCGTGATTACCGAAAAAATTAAGGAAGCGAAGGTCGGCGAGATCATGGACATCGACGAGGTGCGTCGCGACAGAGAGAACTGCAGGCGTTGCGCGCGTCCAGCATGGGGTAGAGCAGCGGATTAACGGATTTGTTGCGGTTGCTATGACTCGTTGTTGCTGCAGGTTTTGCTATTGGGCAATGTGAACCAGACGATTGTGGGACTACCTCTGGTCGAGGGCGCTAAGGTGCGTGCGCGCGTTGAGGAACAAACGCTGGACGCCAAGATCGACATTTTCAAGAAGAAGCGTCGAAAGAACTACCGTCGTTGGAACGGCTTCCGTCGCCAGGTCACTGTGCTGCGTGTCACGGATATTGTCCCCGTCGACGCGTAAAAGTAGACAGGTGTAGGCAACCAGGCAGACAAAACAGGGGCTTTGCTTTGAGCAGGAACAGCCGATGGACTGCTAGCGTTGAAGAACAATCTCTTCAGCTCGTCTAGATGGATTTTCCATGTTCCACAATTGTATTTTGCGATTCCAGCGGAACTCGCCCAGTAAGTTAATCCGAGACGGGTAAAGCCTAGTCATATCATTACTTCTTGCTAAAGTGTTTTTCGTCACCAATATCCCCCGTCGCAGTGACCAGACACCTTAATGCAAGACCTCCTTGAAATATCCCACCTGACAGTTTCTCGATACATACATATTTAGGAATCGCCACAGAAGTTTCTAGTCACTTTCATAGTTCTGTCGTCAAAATACAGGGCCCTTATTTGACTGGCCCTGATGAACTGGGTATCCGCCCAAATAGAGCTCGTGTCAATCCCCAAAGAGTCAACAACCCCGTTCGTTTCCTCTTCATATCGATCACCATGGCCCACCCGGAGCACGACCACGCGCACGACCACGACCACGAGCACGACCACCACCACGAGGACGTGGACTCGGATGACGAGATCCCGGCCCTTGAGGAGGCCCCGGACGCCGCTGACGCCGAGAAGGGCAAGCACAACCGCTCGGAGAAGAAGTCGCGTAAGGCCATGCAGAAGCTCGGCATGAAGCCCGTGGGCGGCATCATTCGCGTGACCATCAAGAAGAACAAAAACGTGCTGTTCGTCATCTCCAAGCCGGACGTGTTCAAGAGCACGGTCAGCGAGACCTACGTCATCTTCGGTGAGGCCAAGATCGAGGACCTGAACGCCCAGGCCCAGTCTATGGCTGCCCAGCAGTTCAAGGCCCCTGCCGCTGAGACCCCCGCAGCTGACGCCGGTACCGCCCCCGCTGCCGCCGCCGTTGAGGAGGACGACGAGGACGTCGACGACTCGGGCATCGACGCCAAGGACATCCAGCTGGTCATGAGCCAGGCTGGCGTGAGCAAGAGCAAGGCTGTGGCTGCTCTGCGCTCCAACGACAACGACATTGTCAACGCCATCATGGAGCTCACCATGTAAGCCTAGTATTATAGCCAAGTATAGGTTTGTCAGCGCGACAGCAATGGAAAAAATGTCTTTTTGGGTTTTCAACCGTGAAAATTTGTGCACTTCAATTTGATTGACAGGAATTAACTCGGTCAATTTATCGCAGGACTTTTTTATTTACTTGAGTTTCCTTGCTCTTATTGCGAGTTTAAAAAGATGGTGCGGATTAAGCACAAATTCAGCATTAAGCGGCGGCGTATGGATCTGAGTGAAAGCACAAATATTGACTTCAACTTTGGATCCGACGAGGACGAGATGGCGGAAACAGTTGCAGCGGTAGCTGCCGTGCAGATGCCCGACAAGTTGCCAATCACGGAGCAAAATATCACTAAAGATGTCCATGGAGGCCTGTTACTGTCAGCGGTTAAGCGCCAGAGAGAAGGCAGAAGCTGGGCGACGCAAGACCAGCCGAAGAAACCTCACGTCGAATCAGAAGTGCAGGAATCTGGAGAAATGCCACGGGGTCAGTTGCGAGGGAAACCCGACAGTCTTCTGCAATTCGGAGATATACGAGCCCCTTCAGCTGCATCGAGACTAGCAGCAAATGTGGTTAAAAAGCGTGGAGATTCCAGCCAAGAATATGACGTAGAACTAAGTGGAAAATTACCTTCTTCATCCGTCGCAGGACGTGACAAAGAGCGCCCAAAACTTATGGTGGTGCGTGGAGATCCGACAGACTGGGGTACGGCAGCTATCGTGAGTGACACGAACACTTTGTTACACCACAAGTGTGGTTTGGCAGCGACAATCGTACGCAAAGGTGGGTGTGGAATCCAGCGTCAGAGCTCGGAGTGGGTGTATTATAATGGTGAAGTCCCAGTTGGATCGGCAATGTGGACAACCGCGGGTAATCTGGTAGAATTTTAACGGGGTCGTATACAGGTCAGGCCTGATTATTGGGTCAGGTTCCATTTCCAACAGGATCTTCCTACAGAAGAAGAAGAATCGAGCAGTGAAGAAGATGACGAGGCTGTAGACGTCGACAGTGATGATGGCAACGAGGGCGTCTCTGGTACTAGCAGCGAAGAGGACGCTGCTGCTACCAATTTGGGCGCAGGTGTGATCAGCAATGACAGTGATGCCGATGAAGGCGACACTGAAGCCGACCAACCTCGTGCCGCGCAGACCATCGTGGTCTAAGCATTCTAACCCAACTGCTTAGCTTCGTATCTTTCACTTCAATATGTAGCTTAGCAATTGGTCCTGTGTTTGGTAGGGCCGTCAGGAAACCCGCCTGACCCAATTATCAGGCCCTACCCGTACACGACCCCAAAAATAGCTAACCAATCTTAATCTGGTAGAATTTTAACGGGGTCGTATACAGGTCAGGCCTGATTATTGGGTCAGGTTCCATTTCCAACAGGATCTTCCTACAGAAGAAGAAGAATCGAGCAGTGAAGAAGATGACGAGGCTGTAGACGTCGACAGTGATGATGGCAACGAGGGCGTCTCTGGTACTAGCAGCGAAGAGGACGCTGCTGCTACCAATTTGGGCGCAGGTGTGATCAGCAATGACAGTGATGCCGATGAAGGCGACACTGAAGCCGACCAACCTCGTGCCGCGCAGACCATCGTGGTCTAAGCATTCTAACCCAACTGCTTAGCTTCGTATCTTTCACTTCAATATGTAGCTTAGCAATTGGTCCTGTGTTTGGTAGGGCCGTCAGGAAACCCGCCTGACCCAATTATCAGGCCCTACCCGTACACGACCCCAAAAATAGCTAACCGGTAATCTTGCAAGCAAGTTTATTATCTACACTGTGGGTCCTGATGTTAGTCATTACCGCTGGCCAATGCCACTCCACCAGTTGGAGCTTCGGTGCGCTGTACGAAGTGCTCTCAATATTGCTGACAGCTTGGGTGTGTCGTCGGTTGCCATACCAGCACTATGCACTGGGGTTTGTCGCTATCCGAAGTACCTGGCTGCTCGAGAAATCGTGACAGAGTGTCTGGAATTTTGTGATGAGTATCCATCGACATCGCTGCGACTGATTGTGTTGATGAACGAGGACAAAGTGACGACATCGATCTTCGTACAAGCCTTAAAAGATGCGAGACAGCAGCGGCAATTGGATCGAAAATCGGCTAACAGCGCAACATTTAGTGAAAAGGTAGGAGAGGAACTCGATGGTACTAGTGATTGTTTCCAGCTATGTCTCAGACATCGGAGAGCAGGAGGTGCCGAGATCACAAAAGTTGACAAACAGGGCTAAATGATTTCCATACCGGTATACGCCAGGCTTGTAACGACATGACATGCATTATAGTGAAAACATTCCAGCTATTGTTGTAAGGATCCCTCTCAGCATATTACTAACGAGAGGGACGTTTCAGAAAACTTTTTATTTTTTGTTATTTAAAATTGACAATATATGTGAGCTCCATATTTTCCTCCATTCCCAAATGACCGGATGCCATTACGCCAAAGTCAAGATTTGTCTGGAAGGTTCATATTATGGATAGCTCTCAAAATTATGTTTTGAATTGCGTCGTGTTCACAAAATAATCTCATTTTACGAAAATTTTCGGAGCTGCTGATGCACCTACTTATGTAAAGAAATCTACCTGCTTATGTAATGGAGGGGCCCATTACACGCCAGGTCAAAGAGGACTTCTTGGCTACGACACGTCGCGCTGATCCAATCCAATTCAGCGCTACAGCTAACACCTCGCGTAGGTATCGAAGTGAGCTGCGAATGTGCGGCTTACAGGTCTTGTACAGCTCGTCAAATGCTTCAGTATCCATGCGGAATTAGTATCCATGCGGAATTGGTCCCGGAAGAGCCTTCAGTTCGGTGAGCTGTGAATTGCGTGAAAGAAGCGCTCTTCAGTGCCCGTCGTAAGCCCAAGCAGCCGTACAAGTTTGCCATGTTCCTGCTCCCGCTCTTGGCGCTTCGTCAACCCCAAGCGAATTATTGCAATCGCCAACAGCAGCAACAGCATGCCCGGTGTGTTACTTTGAGTTATATCACACGACTAGCGTGTGCTGAAATGCTGTCATGCCATTGGCTGATATATGAAGAGCCGGACCCATTATTATCCAGTAAGATTATGACGTGTATTTGAGTGGCCAGGGCTGTGGCCTTGGTCCTAAAATAAAGTCAGAGTTGATTTTTCCTTAAACCTAAGACTTAGTCGTCCTATTGCGAGCTTCCTCGACACTATATTGTAAGCAAGTAACGTAGTAAATACCTGGCCCGTTACACCTGGTAGCACTTCGTTGTCCTTCCAACGACCAAGTTCGACATGAGCCAGACCTCGACCACGCTGCTTTCTTCCATCTCACTCGGATCGAGTGGGAAGCTCTCCACCGCCTCGCGGCGGTGTCCGGAGAAGCCGTCGCCACGTCGCTGCTGCGGTCAGCGACGTCCGACGAGCAGCGCGTTGCGGCACAAGAATATATGGAACGCGAGATCGCCGATGCGAATCCGTGAGTGTCAACTCCCTCACGTATCTCCACGAATGACGTCGTGAAGCTAGAGACGTCCGCCTACTCCGGTGCTGGAGAAGGTCGACTTCCGCTGAATCGCTGGTTTCGAGAGATCGACATCGCCATCGCCTCGAGGTTGATCGAGGCGCCTTCCGCAAAGGTCCATTTCCTCCTCTCGCGGATGTCTGTTAAAGCCAAGGATAGGGCTCTCGGAAAGTTGGTTGTCGATTCCAACGTCTTCTCTACTCTGGATACCCTCCAGAGTGACCTTCGACTCGCGTTCGAGCCGCCGCAAGAAGAATCCCGAATTCGGGCAGACTTCTTCGCCTTTCGGCAAGGCACGATGACTATGCGCGACTACGTCCAGAAGACACGACACCTCGCGTCGTGTATCGTGTCTAAGCCGATGGATATGGCCTCTCAGGCTCATGTGTTCGTGTTCGGTATGCGCGAAGGCATGATGCGCTTCCGCCTTACCAATCTGACCCCTCTACGCTCGAAGAGGCATTCGCCCTCGCCCTACGCGAGGACTATGTGGCTGCGGCGTCATACGCTCACGCGCTACCTGCTTCAGCTCGGGATTCTGCGCCCGATCCCAAGGACATCGACGCTATCGATGCGACGAGCAATCGCCAGCGTCATGAAGCGCGTCGGAGCGGTGCTCGGAACAGTCGTTCTCTTACCTGCTTCCGCTGCCGGAAGGTCGGTCATCGCGCGGCGGAGGGCCGCGCGCCAGCTCCAGTGCTTGCGCATGTCAATGCCGATCTCGTGAGTTCTGACCAGCCCAAAAACGGTTTCAATTTATTGACGGACCAAGGCTCAATGTCTCTGGTGGCGAAGGCCACAGGAGCACGCCGATTAGAAATGAAGGCAGCATCCGGACCGAGCGGGCAATAACGAGTTAGGAGGAGCAGGGATCAAGACAGATCCGGGGGATCCGCCACCATGAGGCAATCCCCCTCCAGCATCACTATCTGACCCACCGTCACTGTCGACTTGGATCGCGGATCCCGCAGTGCCGGCTCCGGATCCGGCTGTACCAGTGACTTGCGGAGGCGGTGTCGAGAGGAATCTCCGCCGGGCTTCGGATCTGGGCTGGGACAAGGCCCGTCGCGTGTCTTCCTCCAAGGCATCATCAGCGGCTCGAGCCTCCTCCAAATCCGCCGGACTTTCATCGTCATCGTCGTCGTCATCGTCCAGAGTGAAGGAATAAGGGCTGGAGGACGGCGTACGCTTCGACGACGATCGGATAGGAGGTCCCGAGCCGTCGGACCATTCTGATCCCTCATCCTCGTCATCCTCCGAACTGCCAAGTCCACAACCAGTGGGAATGACACGTTTGGCTTTCCCTTTCCTAGATCCAGTGCTGGCCGGCGGAGGGTCGGTGTAAGCCGATTGGGGGACGGGAGGCGTCGTCACCGAAGGGCCAGCAGTGGATCTAGACTGAGACGAACTGGACTTAGCTGTGGATGTGGCTACCCCCGTCGTAGGAGCAGCAATTGCCGAGGATCCAGTTGATACCACTGCCTGGGACGACGGCGCGACCGTGGATCCGGTCTGGGACGCCGATCCCGACTTTGATACAGCAACGGACCCAGCCTTGGATCCAACTCCCGCTTTGGACGTAGCTACGGATCCAGTCTTGGACGCCGTGGATCCAGTCTTGGGTCCAAATCCAGATTTTGACGCAGCGGCAGTGGATCCAGCCTAAAATCCCACTCCCGTTCTGGACGTAGCTACAGATCCAGTCTTAGACACTGATGCCGACTTGGATGTAGTGGTGGATCCGGACTTGGATCCGGCACCAGACTTCGAGGGGGAGGCGGAAGGCTTGGATGTGGATGTGGATCCCGCCTTGGACGTGGATGTGGATCCCGCCTGAGAGGCCGCCTTAGAGGCCGAACTGGTTTTGGGCTTGGCCTTTGGGGAAGCTCGGGCATGCTTGTGAGGACGGGGGGATCCAGTGCTAGGAGCGGGGGATGCACTACGCGGTCGTTTCGCAGCCGACGGATCCGCCCCACCTACAGAGGGTAGAGAAGCAGAAACGCTGGCAGCAGGAGAGAGCCCAGACAGGGGAGGAAGGGGATCCGAGACAGCAGCTGTCACCAGCGCCAGTCGTCGATGTGCCAAATCCCGCTCCGATAAGCCACGATCGCGCTCCTAAACTAGCTGCTGGTGCTGAACATGAGCTGCAGCGAGTTGATCCCGGCGTTTTGCTGCGGTTGCCTCAGCATCCTTCAATTTGTCACGTGGATCGACATAAAAGGTGAATATGGGGCTACTAGCGGATGACAAAAGAGGATCCACGTACTCGTGCGGCGGAGCTTGGATTCCAGCTCCGTTTGCGTTCGCTTGGCATCCGCCCACTCGGCAGCCGCCTTGTCCCGCTGAAGTTCGGTGTCCGCCAACTTCGCTTGGATCTCGTCGCGCAATTGAGTTACGCGTACGACTTCTTCGAGCGCGTAATTCCGCCCGGCAGACGCTTTCTCGAGTGACTCCATGGTAACTTTCAGCTCCTCAGAGAGACGAGCCAGAGCTGATCCGGTGACGAGGGAGGTGGATTTAGCACGGGGGACCCTCCACGCGCCGACCCTTAGGCGGATCCGCCATGGGTGGATCCCACAAAGTCGTTAGTCACCACCTCTTCTTGAGTCAGGCGCAACTCGTCACGGAGTCGATCCAAGCTCTCGTCCGCGGCTGCACTAGCAGTCTGGGAATCCTCCAGATCCCGCTCGAGATCATGGATCCGGGATTGGAGCTGGTGGATCTCAGATCCGGCGAGCGCCATCACCCTAAGGAGATGGTCGTTGTCGTCCCGCATGCCATCTCGCAGACGAGAGGCGCGATCCAGCCGTCCGGTCAAGTAGCGGATGTCGACCGATGAATCGGCCAACAAGAGTCGTAGGACCTGCGACCGAGAGGCCGCACGGTGCTCCCACCCCCGGATCTCCATAGCCAGATCATGGACCTGGGCTCGCAAGGTTTGGGGCTGGGTGGCGTGCAAAGACGCAGCTTGGTCTCGGGCATCTTAGGCCGTCTGGAGCTCCACCGTCAAGGTTTGCACCCGATCGGAAAGAGCCTGGGCTAGAGTACGCAGATCGGTGGGTGACATGGAAAAAGGGCTGACCGGAGGAGTGGTGGATGGGGCCTTG